ATCAGATAATAGCAACATTAATAATAGATATTCGTATATTAATAGCAGTACGAATACTAGCAACAATAATCATAAATATTGCCATTAATCCCATATTTATTCGTGAGTATATACACTTCCAATCCTACTAAATTCATTGTAATTTATGTTCATATACTTCACTGACAAATCTCGAAAAACAATGAACAATTTAAACAGTTTAATGGTTTCCACCTGTCTAAATCATTCACCAGCTGGTACGAAATATATCTATCTCAAAGGCAATAAAGATAAATTAGAAAGATTTAATTGAATTTAAAAGATATCATAGATTGATATTTGAAAACACTTGGGACCTTTTTCTCTCTCTCTCTCTTTCGTTTTCTATGACGCAATAGAAAACGGAGAGTACATTGAGTACAGGGTTTTTATTTTCACTTTGTTTTATTTTTACCTTTTTATGATCTTCTGCCGTCCTTGATGTGAAGATAATGTCTTTCTTGTCTCTCGTCTTTTTATACTTACCTCAGATCCAAACTTAGTTTTCCTCTCTCTCTCTCTTGCTCTTGCTCGGTCTCTCTCTCTCTCTCTCTTCTCTTCTCTCTCTCTCTCTCTCTCTCTCTTCTCTCTCTCTCTCTCTCTTCTCTCTCTCTCTCTCTCTCTCTCTCTCTCTCTCTTCTCGCTCTCTCGCTTTCTTGCTCTTGCTCTTGTTCTTGCTCTCTCTCTCTCTCTCTCTCTCTCTCGCTTCTCTTGCTCTTGCTCTCTCTCTTGCTCTTCTCTCTCTCTGTCCTCTCTCTCTCTCTCTCTCTCTCTCTTCTCTCTCTCTCTCTCTCTCTCTCTCTCTCTCTCTCTCTCTCTCTCTCTCTCTCTCTCTCTCTCTCTCTCTCTCTCTCTCCCTCTCTCCCTCTCTCCCTCTCTCCTCTCTCCCTCCTCCCTTCTCCCTCCCTCCCTCCCTCTCCCTCTCTCTCTCTCTCTCTCTCTCTCTCTCTCTCTCTCTCTCTCTCTCTCTCTCTCTCTCTCTCTCTCTCTCTCTCTCTCTCTCTCTCTCTCTCTCTCTCTCTCTCTCTCTCTCTCTCCACGCAAATTCAAACAAAACAATTCTCTCTTTCCTTTTGTTATATTTCCCTCCCTCTTTTTTAAACAATTTCGGGAATGACTACCCCTCTCAAGAAAGAAATTCTGTCGAGAGTGATTTCCAATGACCTTTCGCCGCCCGATCGAGGCCACTCTGGCGCGAGCTGGGACGGCCGCGGGCGTGCGTTGCGAGGAATATGGCGACATCTTGCAATGATTTGGTCGTCAGTGGTTGCACATACGCACGCACGCGGATGTTACGTGTGCGCGTGGAGATAGCGCGGGCACAAACAACGATGGTAATAAGTGGTTTTATATACATGCCAACATAAGCTCGCAAATGTAGTCAGATTCACGTACATATGCATACACATACACACACATACGCATATAGACGTATATATACAGATACGCACAGGCATACGTACACACCACATAATACATAAGGCATACATATACGCGAATAGGCACATACACACACACACAAATACGCACAGACACACATACACACACACACACACACACACAAATAGCACAACACACACACACACACACAAATACGCACAAACACACACACACACAAATACGCACAACAACACATACACACACACACGAACACACACACACAAATACGCACACACATGTACAAGTCAGCTTTGATGTTTTAGAGGCTTTTTTAAAGAACTTTTTGAGAGGCTGATTTTAAAAGGATTGGCCTGAGTGAGCTTTCTTCCTCTCCTCATCTCCTCTGAGTCACATTTGAATCTCTCTCTCTCTCTCTCTCTCTCTCTTCCTTTCTCTTCTCTCTCTGCTATCTATCTGTCTGTCTATCTATCTTTTATCTAATCTATCTATCTCTCTCTCTCTCTCTCTCTCTTCCTATCTCATCTATCTATCTATCTATCTATCTATATCTATCTATCTATCTATCTATCTATATATATATATATAACACACACCACCACGCACACACACACAATATATAATATTATATATATAATATATATTATATATATATATATATATATATATATATATATATTATATATTGTATATATATATGTGTACGTAATACATATATATCTATACTATATATCATATATATATATATATAATATATATATATATATATATATATATATAATATTTATATATATATATAATATATATATATAATATAATATGATATATATATATGGCTATATACACTATATATATACCATATATCGTAACCTTTCTATAAAACATCTGCTGAATCACATTTTTCTATGAAATATGACACACATCTAAGTACCTATCCATGAATAACACACAAACAAATGTTTATTGAAGATTCATATTTGTATTATGAGTATTAAGTCATGAATCCGTTGCCGATGTATGCGGATTCTATGCCGTTCATGTTCATTTGTTCATTTGATCACGTGTTATCTATGCTTCACAACAG